TCCTTGATAATTTTCTCAACTAAATATATATCATCATATTTTACTTTGCTAAGTTCTTCTGTATAAAAGCCTCCCTGAATCGGTTGATCCTGGTAGTCAACCAATTTATAAGTTGTAGGATTTGTTTTTTGCACAGTCTTGATAGTAAAAATTTCTGTTGTCCAGTTTGGTGTGTATCCTTTCTCGAATATATGTTTATACTTGCTTATACGAACTTTATCTCCAACTTTAAATTTAGTTTTTAGCATGGGCGTTTTCTTTTTAAGAGGTTCATATATCATTTGCAGTACTTGTTTTTCTTTACTAGTAGTTACATCGACTGGTTTCATTTTAATTGTTCGATGTTTGGTGTTATTATAAGTATTGACCAAATCAGGAAGCATGTCAACCCATTTATAAGTATCTCGACTGGTAAATTGCTGCCACATTTTATTTTTGAGTGTTCGATTAAATCGTTCACATATTGAAGCTATCAAATTGCTGAATGTTGAGTACGTGTTAATTTTGTATTGTTTCATAAGGTTTTTGAATTCTTTGTTATAAAACTCTTTCCCATTATCAACATGTAGATTTTGTGGTTTGCGGCCTTTTTTAAGTACATTTTTCATTGCATTTTTAACATCATCAGCACTCTTACTTTTAATGGGGACCATCCATGCATACTTTGAAAAAATATCTATTATTGTAAGCAAATATTTGTGTCCATTATTTATTTATTTTATTTAATTTAGAGTATGGAATCATCTCAACCAAGTCAGCTTGCCATGTTTCATCAATCCCACGTATGTCAACATGACGACGGGGATAATTTCTTCGAGCTAATCGGTGAAGCTCTCTAGCAATAACTTCTTTTTTATCAACCATTTTTAGCAATTTCAGATATCTTTTTTGCGTTTTCTTTTATCCTTTCCTCATCACGCAACAATGACCTTACTAATGAACTAAGACGACTTTCCAATTTATTTATCTTATTTTCTTGATTATTAGTAATATTATTCAATGTGTTCACTTTAGCTTCCAATTCGTGAATGATGTTATTTATTACGGTAATTGATTTAAAAGATTTATCATTCCCAGCTCTTATTGTAACATCAACCACATCAACATCTTTGAGATCCCCAGATTCAAGATCAGCAATGCGTTTTTTATTTTGATGTATTATAGTTTTAAGCTTTGCTATCTCCCGATTGACAATTGAATGCATGCTAGATAATATAACAACATCATTTTTATCTATAGGTTCAGCAACATTATACATTCTTTTTCCTTCCAAATTAAAATTGCCATCACTAGTTAACTTAAAACCAACTCCTGGTGCGCCTGGAATACCTTTATTATACTGAATGTCATTTTTAGATGATGACGTACGTCCAAATATATCAATCATCATTTTTATGATCCACTTGACTTGGCGGTTCACTTGTAAATGATGATATTATAAAGAAAACTTTAATAAATAATCTGAGCCTCGCGCAATTCCTCAATAATTGATATTATTTCGTTAGAGTGACTAGAATTACCGGTTGCTTGAGATGCCATAAGTAATCGTAATCTGTCAACAAGCTCATTAGGATCATCCCAGTAAACATAATCAATATTTTTCCGTTTTCTTGAAGCAGTCATAAAGTTAGGTAACTTTATGACCCTCTATTGACGACTGAGTTAGCTTGGATATATATTTACTATATTTGATGGTCTTTTCAGTGTAAAGACTTCGATTCGGCTCGTAATGCTTTCTATGTGTATTGGTTGAAATCACAAGATCTTTATAAACATCCAAATCATTTGAATTTATTAATTTCTCTTTAGGTTCACTCTTGAATAATAACTCAATCAGTCCTGGAGTTAATGAAATAGTTTTGTTTTTTACGATCAAAGTATTATTTTCATGAAACTGCACTGGTGAATCACCCATAAAAAGCTGTGAGCCTCTTCGTCGAATCCCAAATCTAGTGTCTTGTCCTTTAGGATTTTTGTTTCTAGTCAACGCTGATACATATTGTGATACTGAATCTCGCTCTTTTATGGGTGTACTAGTCATTTCTGGAGACAATGGGTGCATAATAGTTTTATTTATTATGCTTGATTGATCTAAATCAGAATGTTCAGTTGATAATTGAGGGGTATCATCATAGAACGTTTGATATTCACTTATTTCAGGTTTTTTCAGAGAATAATTTTGTGAGTCCTCTTTTACCTCCTGTTTAATTTCATATTTTATAGCTTTAGAGTTTTCAACTAAAGCTTGTAATGGTGTTACGATTGGTTTAAATGCTTCATTTGCTGCTTGTTCAGAAGAATCCCTCCCAATTTTCAATATTTTACATTTTCGTCTGATTGCATCACTAACTTTAGATATTTGATTCAGCATCTCAGTCTGTTGGGGAATATTTTTATATGCCATGTTTTCACACTTGAAAGCACTATACAACTGTCCAATTTCATATATAACGATCTAATTTATACTTATGAAGCAGTCAAAACCTTTTCTATAACGACCATTATTTAGTTCACTATCTTTATCAACCACCACAAATCCATGCTTATCATCACTGTTTTTATCATTCCAACATGCTGAACACAAGCTTCTGAATTCATTATAAGGCATATCAGTATTCACATGATCATCATAAATATGTTTTAAGTTCATTTCATCTTGACGAAAAAGTTCTAAAAAGTTGGTATTATCTCTAATTAAATGTTTTGGAATTTTCGAATAGGTTTGTGATAGATAGAAACTGTCGATATTTTTATGTCGCCCCATACAAAAATAAGCTCTGATATGATCCTGTTTCTCACAAGCTACATCATCGAATATCATGAGTGAGTTTGATTGAGCCTCATCAGGATTGATAACTGATTCATGATCACTGAATGGATGATAACCTACCCCCTCCACAGGTTTTAATATAGATTCCAAAAACTTATACTTTGGTTGGTTTAAAGATTTAGAATAAACATAAATGTTCTCGAATCTCAAACCATTAGGATGAGTGACTAGAGCTAAAAGAGCGTTAGTCTTTCCGCAATTTGATGGTCCACAGATAATTGCTCTGACAGTATTTGGTAAGAGTGCTCCATGTCGCTTTGGAACTTTTTTTTCATCACCTTGTACAATCGCATCAAAATTTATAACAGGTAATTTAGCACTTTGTTTTTCAAACTTCATCTTGATTTTTTATAGATACTAATTAATGCTACCAAGACAACATTTAAATCATAACTCATCAATTTGACTATAAATATCCCGTATTTATACAATTTGAGTCAGTGATTGATTAAGCATGGTGAAGAACAGAGGTACTGCTAAAGCTAAAATTAAGCGTGGTGGGGGTATTGTTAATGGTATTATCAATAAACTACCAATAGAATTACATGTACCAGGATATCAATATTGTGGACCTGGCACAAAATTATCAAAGAGACTAGCTCGAGGAGATCCTGGAATAAACCCGCTAGATAAAGCGTGTAAAGAGCATGATATTGCTTATTCAAAAAGTAGGGGTAATATGCAGGCGCGTCATGAAGCTGATAAGAAGCTGGCAGAACAGGCTGCACTACGTCTTCACGCAAAAGATGCTAGTATTGGTCGCATAGCGCTAAGTCCATGATTAGAGTTCCACTTAAAATCGTCGTTTAAAGCTCATTTTTATTTTAATTGATTACTTATTCGACAATCTTATTAAAATATAATTGTTTAAAAAGGAAAATAAAGAAACGAATTATTTAAATTAATATTTCCCGTTATTAATATAAATTGAACATATCTGATTATATTGTCGCTTAATAAAAATAATTTTAAATTTTAAAATGAAATTAAAGTTTTGTTACATATGGCGCCATCTATCCAGATTAACTTTTTTTTGTCAAGGTATAAGAAATCTATGCGATAGGGATTGTAAGTTATCAGAATTATAGGCAATCGGATTTCAGTGTAATCGGAATTATATCCAATCAAATTTCTAGGCAATCGGATTCTAAGTAATCGGGATTCTAGGTAATCGGTAATCTACCCCATAGGAATTCTACGTCATTGATAATTTGGGTAATCGGATTCTGGGTTATGGAAATCTAGGTAATCGGAATCTAAGTCACCGATAATCTAACTCATTGGTCTGTAGGTAATCGACCTCTTGCCGTTTCATACATATATATAATATAAATATACAGGTAATGATCATTTTATCTTGGATAATAAAATTTTATCTTGGATTGAAAAACTAGCCCTAATACATGATGTTTAAAATTAGCCCTCCATTGACAGGTAGTGTCACCTGTATGCGACTGGAAGTATCGAATGCAGTGTTATACTAATTATACTATACTCAGTGATTGAAAAGCAACCATGTGACTGCACCTTAAACGCCAACTGACAATACTCGATTTCTTGATTTTGAGTGTCTTGTTTTAATTAAGGCTGAGCTATTCGCTGATTTCGTTCATAACAGCCATCAATAAACACCTTAATGTTTATTTGTGAGTGTCGTTTCTTAGCATAGTGCAAGCATTGTTGTTGCTAATAATTATTCATTTATTATTATGTTAAACATCAAACTTGATTAAAAAATTGTGATAGTAAAATCAATACCGTGCTTTATAAGAACACTTAATAATTAAAATCAATTTAGCTTTGCATATTTGTATTATGCTTGTACCACCTTATTTTACACTTGGGATGATTTTATCACGAACTTCATGTTTCGAATTAATTTTGCAATTTAGTGGTATAACGAAGGTAAATCAAGAAGAATTGAATTATATTGTGTTATTAATGATGTAATTTATAAACGTCAAAAATCAAACCGTGAATGATTAAGATTTTACTACTCGAAAATTATTTGATTCACATGTATGTGTAAAAATCGCATTTATATGAAAGTTACATCTGATACAATAATTTCTTTGTCTATAATTATTATAATTTTCGTGTGTATTTAATTTCATTTCAAATTTATATAATAAATTTATCGGAAGTTTACTAAATTTAATTTATATCAAAAATGTCAGACGACGATATAGCTATGGATTCCATAGATACTGATGAAGATATTTTTAGTTCTCACAATTCTACTCTTCGTAATAATGTACGAAGATCTAAAAATGCTCGTACATTGCGATCACATTCTAGTAATAACTCTCTTATCACCAGAAATAATTTAAGTGTCCGAAGAAGTACTCGAAATAGAATGCAAACTTATGACAATTTGAATACTAGTTGGATTTTAGGTAAGATTTTTCGATTGAAGGTATTTTAGGTACTAATTATTCAACTTATTTTATTTATGTTACAGGGACTCAAACTTTAAAAGGATACCCAATGTTTCAGCAACATGTATCTTCATCAGACAAAGAAATGGCAGAAGAATCACCTAGTAGGCCACGAGATATTCGAGAGCGTATGCCTTTAAAATCTAGAGAAAATCATCACCCTACAAAAAATACACGACACATTAGAAGTAGAGTAGATCTTACTAATAGAGAACTTCGAACCAGAGTCGATAGAGATCGAGAGAGAGAAATTCGTAAAAATACTGATCAAGATATTGATGAAATAGATCTTCGTCAACTAAAAGATCGGCCAGATCGAAAATCTAATGATAAGGATGTGAAATATAAAAGCGGAAACCGAAATAAAATAATAGTTTCAGTTGATAATGAAAAAGAATTAGAACCACAAAAATCCGATGGTCCTATTAGATCAAGGGAAGGTCCAATAACTAGATTATGTGGTATGTTGGAAAAAGATGAAACAAACAAAGTTTCTTCAAATAGTGTCAATGAAGATAGTTCTCATGAAAGCGATAAGCAAGTAGAAAATGGAAACTCTGATAATGACATTGGTTTTGAAGATATGTATACCCGAATTAAAAGAACGAGAAGAGCATCCCAAAGACAATTAGAGCGTAATAAAAAATTATCAGAAGAGAGCGATTTAAGTGAATCATCTGATTCACCTGGACCCCGAAAGTACAGTCTTCGTAAAAAAAAACCAACCGTAGATAGATTTCAAGCAAATGTCGAACCAGTTAGACGTTCTATTAGAGCACTTAGAACAGTTCTCAGTAACTCCATGAGACGACGTAAGCATAGAAGCAAAAGTTCTAGTTCAAATGATTCTAGTGATTCTGAACCGCAACGATATGATAAAAAAAAGTGTAAAAAAGTAAGACAAAATGCTTTACCACAAGGTTGTCCTACAGATAAAAAAGCGGATATAAGCCCCATTACGTTAGATACTAATATTCGGTTTAGTGATGTTGGTGGGTTAGAATCACACGTTCATTGTCTTAAAGAAATGGTTGTATTTCCTATGATGTATTCAGATGTCTTTGATAGATTTCATATTACACCGCCTAAAGGAGTTCTTTTTTACGGTCCACCGGGAACTGGAAAAACTCTTATTGCTCGAGCTTTAGCAAATGAATTCAGTCAACAAGGAAATAGAAAAGTCACGTTTTTTATGCGAAAAGGTGCAGATTGTTTATCTAAATGGGTTGGTGAATCAGAAAGACAGCTTCGTCTTCTCTTTGAACAGGCTCAACAGATGAAGCCATCCATAATTTTTTTTGATGAGATTGATGGTCTTGCACCTGTTAGAAGCACTAAACAAGACCAAATTCATGCAAGTATTGTGTCGACATTGCTTGCACTTATGGATGGTTTAAGTGATCGAGGTGAAGTTGTCGTCATAGGTGCGACTAATCGTATCGATGCAATCGATCCGGCTTTAAGAAGACCTGGAAGATTCGATCGAGAATTGTTTTTCCCTTTACCTGCAATGAAAGAAAGGTTAGAAATTTTAAAAATTCATGTTGGTCAATGGAAAAATCCACCTTCCGATGGGCTACTGGAATTATTGGCAGAAATGACAACAGGCTATTGCGGGTCAGATTTACGAGCTCTTTGTACAGAAGCAGTGTTACAAGGTCTAAGAAGAACCTATCCTCAGATTTATTTGACTAGTAATCGCCTACTTTTAGATCCACAGCGAGTTGAAATTAAACAGCAAGATTTTATTGAAGCGGCATCAATTTTAGTGCCATCTACACACAGAATTGCTCCGAGTATTAGCAGAAAACTTCAATCATTTCTTATTCCTCTTCTTGGTAATGCTCTTGAAGATTTAATTAATGTTGTCAAAGTAATTTTTCCACAAGGTATTAACTCAACTCTGGCCAAAATAAAACTTGCTAAAGGTTTACATCATCCAAGAATGTTGGTCACCTGTGATAGTATGTCATATGGTCAAAGTCCTAAGTTAACTCAAGCTCTACTTTATCGTATGGAGCACGTTTTCGTTCAGCCCCTAGATGTTAGTACTTTATTTGCAGAAAGTGCAAAAACCCCAGAAGAAATTTGTGTTCAAGTATTTAATGAAGCTTCTAGAAAAATACCTTCAATAATTTATATCCATTCCATTGATCAATGGTGGCAACTATTACCAGAAACTGTCAAAGCAGTTTTTATGTGTCGTATTACTACCCTAGATCCAAGTCTCCCGATTCTTATCCTTGCAACAAGTGATGTTCCATATTCCGATTTAGTTCCTCAAATAAAAAATCTTTTCAGTCGATCTCGCGGAGAAGTTTATACAATTAAAAATCCTACTGTTGAACAAAGATCGGAATTTTTTAAACCAATATTTACAGAAAAATGTGTTCAGCCACCTATTTTGATTGATAATAAGGTTCAAAAACTTGAAGAATTACCTCTAGCACCTGAACCCGAACCAAAGAAGTTGACTGAAGGCGAGAAAAAAATCTTATACGAAAAAGAGGAAGTTTCTTTACGAGAATTAAGAATCTTTCTTAGGGAAATTTGTGCTAAATTGGCACGAAATAGACAGTAAGTATTTTTTTTATTTGATCATGTAATATACCTTTAACATGATGTAAATGTATTAATTGTTTTGACAGATTTTTCATGTTTACGAAACCAGTGGATATAGAAGAGGTACCAGATTATAATGCTATCATAAAACAACCAATGGATTTAGAGACTATGATGACGAAAATCGACATGCATTGCTATTTATGCGCCCGTGATTTTCTTGATGACATTGATTTGATTTGCAAGAACGCGCTTGAATATAATCCTGATAGGTGAAATATTTTATCTCATTTAAATAATTTAGAAATAATAATAATAATCAAAATAAAAGACAACTTAAGATTAATTATTATATATTATAAAGAAAAAAGGGAAAGTCGTGATAGTGATCGTTTTAGATATATTCAAAGTAAATTATTTTACTGTACTGACAAGTTCGTATGTTTTCCCTTTAGCTTGCTTGATAAATCTTCTTTTGGAATTTTAAAGAGGTAGTCGTTATAGTTATTCCGATTCCTAACAACTTTTACTATTAACTATTTAAACGAAGCATAAATCAAATTTGAATTAATAATTTTTTTTTATTTTATGCCTCGTCATATTAAAAAAAAAAAAATGCTTTACTTAAATAAAATAAAATTTTAAAGTTTTTTCGTCCTATTTATTTTTCACAGAGATCCAGCTGATAAACTTATTCGTCATCGAGCGTGTTCATTACGAGATCATGCATACGCTCTTATAAAAGCTGAACTAGATTCTGACTTTGAAGATAAATGTAGAGAAATATCAAAAAGTCGAATGGTACCAAAAATTGCAGATGATGAGTCGGTAAAAAATGAAAGCTTTATTATAAATGAAAAAAATGTTAAAAAAGAAATGTTGAGCCCGAGTGGATCAGTGGTGATTAATGGTCGAAAAGTAAGCTCTAGAAAACGAAAAATTCCAGCTTGGGCGCGGGGATACGTTAAAAAAGTTACAAAAAAGAAAAAAATTATGTTTGATGATAATCCTGCAGAGTCAAATGAAAAGCCTTGTTCAGTATCATCTAATAATGGAATTCGAAACGTCGATTTAGAAAAATTCCAAGAGTTTGTAGCCAATCGAGTATTGAATGGCGACACGACATTATACGATAACACAGAATCTGAAAATGATTCATTAAATGAGACTATAAGAGAAGTAAAAAATAATGCGAATTGTGAAGTTACGATAGAACAATCATCAGTTGATGTAGAAGTATCCCCTGTAAATGAACAAGTATCAATAGAAAATGGCGAACCAAACGTAGTTTCTTCAAATGAAAAATTAGGAAATGCTAGTTTAACGGTCGACTGTGATCATGAACAATCCAAACTAAAAGAAATGGATGTCGTAATGATTGACAAAGCTAAACTTGAAAGTATGTGGAAATATACCGTGGATGTAACTAGTAAACTTTCTATAGAAGAGCTTTGCGACATTTACGTACAATTTAGTAGATGTGTTAGTACGTATGATCACACATATGATCGAAAATCACTGCCAAAGGTATGTCATTTTTTAAATCTGCTTTTTATTTTATTAAGTAAAATTTCAAAAATCTTAGTTTTTATTTTTAATTGTTTGTTAGAAGAATCTAAAATAAAACACAAATATATATTGATCATAGATTTTGAATGCTAATAATGATTTTCAATTAAATAAAAGTTAACATTATTAAAGTGAGTAAATGTCAATCAATACTTTCAATTTTTCAAATTATTTTTGAATTTAATAAGTTCTAAAATTCCCGATTTTCGAAAATCAGACAAATAATAATAACTTTTCTCTCTTTCTCTCTTTTATTTTTTTTAGTGGAACGTAAGAAAAATTGTTTTTTTTTTTGATTCTCTTAATTTCCATTTTTTTCCGAGTTAAAATTTTTTCAATAGTCCTTTAAAATTTTAGATTTTTTAATAAACTTCAATATCTACGGTTAGTATATTAAATAACTTAATTGTGAATTATTGTCAAAAATTCAACATATTAATGTTTGCTGTTATTTGCTATTTCAATTAAATCGTTAGAGTTAAAAAAAAACTACTATTATGAATAGTTTTTCTCTTAATTTTAGTGTAGCAGGGGTATATAATCAGATGTATTACTTTTCAGGATTTGCTCAGGAATTTACAACAGTTCAAAAATATTTCAAATAAAACAGCTGACTTTACAATGGATGTCGATATTTAAAGTGTGCCACTGTCCAAATACTGTATTTATTTGTTTATTTTATTAATCAAATGCGAGATGTTTCATTTTTAATAATTAAAAACTTTTATTATATATTATTATTAATTATAAATTCGATGCTAGAATATTAATAACTATTTTTTTTTAATTTGCGTCTATAAATATTTAAAAAACTACGATTTTTTTCAATATTGCTATTTTTTTTTTTTTTTTAATGATTTTATACTTCCATTAATTTTCAATAGTTTCATTTAAAACTCGATCCTGGAATATGCCTAGTATAAGTAATTTTTTGTAATTCTGAAAATACTCTATAAAACAAAATACTTTGTTTTTTATCTTTTTTTTTTCTAACATGTTTATGAAAACGATAAAGATATAATAATTGATGATTTGCATGAATATCAAATGTGTGGTAATTTTATTTATTTTTAATTAACCATATGAATTGTAAAAGTAAATATTTATAAATTACAATAATTGTATATAAGAAAAGAATAATAATTTTAAGAGTAATATCATAAGTTTTATTGTTTCTTAGAAAAAAATTCAAACAACTTATTCTTCATCTACACAAGATAACTTCATTTGACTCAAATCTATACTGATAAGTGAAGAAACTAGAGCTGTACAATTTATCCGGTTAATCCGGCTAAAAAGTTAGCTAAGTTAATTATCGAACTAACTGATCAGCCTAGCTAATTTAACCAGTTAACTAAATTAGCTTATTTTTTAAATAAAAAAAACATTAGTAACATTGTTTTGAACTTGCCCGTGAATAAGATGTTATAAAATAGCTAAAAAAAAGTAGCCGTATAGCCGTTAACTAATTAGCTAAGTTAATTTAGTTAACCGATTAAATTAACTAAGCTGATCAGTTAGCTAATTACTTAGCAAACTTTTCTACCCGGCTCAACCGGCTAAGTTGTATACTCCTAGAAAACACTTATTTTTAGGAATAACTACTAAGCCAATAAATTTCGAACTGATACTATAAATTACAGGAAGCTCTTAAGAAGGTTTTAGTTACAAATAGTCGTCGATATTTTGTTAGCTTAAACATATACTGTAGATTCAAATATAAAGTTAACAATTTTTTTTTTTTTTTATTTTATTTTATTTATAAATCGCTTTTTGACATCGAGGTCATCAGCGACTACAAGCTTTCTTTTAAATTAAGTGGAATATTGATACATTTTTTAAAAACTAAAGTTAACAATTATTATACTGAAAAACATTAACAAATGTCAACTTAAGCCTGGCAAAGCGGGCGACCGATAGCTATTGCATTATAAGATATAAATTGATGTATAATAATGGATGAAAATGTACGGTGGCACTACATGTGATATTTAAAAAAAGAGGAATAATATTGTTGAATACAGTAAAAGTGCATGTGAATTAGAACTCTTTCACATTTTGAAGTGTCTGGAATGTGCTGGAAAGAGAGGCTATCTATGATTTGAGGAAATATTTGGTTAATTTTTTTCTTTTAAGTGAGTGATACAGGTAGATAAGCAATTTCAGATTAAATGTTAATAATATTTACGAAGCGTCCGTGGCTTGTCAAAATCAGGATTAGTTCAACTTTTACCGAAAGTTAATGATTTATCAAGTTAATTTAATTTAAGTAATTAAAGTTAATTTATCATTTAAAAAGTTGCAAAATACTTTACTCATAAGAATTTCTTAAATAGTAGACAGACAGATTTCAAAGATAATTTGGGGACGCAGACTTCTGCTGATGATATTAGAATGGAAATAGATAGTAGAGAGATTACTGTGCGGTATTTTTTGACTTTACTTTAGCACTTGATAGTGTTGAGTATGTATTTAAGATATTGTCTTTTGAATTTACTGAACGTGAATTTTCTATTGCTTGTTAAATAATATTTATTTCTCAAGTTTCAACGGTATACATGATTAAGTAACAAATTCGCTCACAACAAATTGAACATCAGATTCTTATAAATTCTTATAAATTTAAGTTTTTATTACAGCATAAAACTCTGCTAAGAAAAATAAATAATTTTATGGTATTAATTGGTCTATAATAGTTAAGCTCATGGACTAAGTAATAATCTTAGCTATGGTAAAAAATTAAATTTTTTCTAATAACCATTGAATCCATAACGAGTATTTATCTTAAAAGGTACATGATATTTAAATTAGACCTAAAACTATATTTCTTGACTAAATTAATTTTTTTAAAAACAATGATTACAGAAATAATACATATTTAAAAAAGACCATTCGGCAGTCGAAATGGAAGTAGATTTCATCATAAATAGAAAAAAATCATGGATTTCGAGTAAACCGGCGACTAAAACCTTATTTCACTTTAACTCGTTACTTGTTTCCTTACTGCTCGCATATTCTATAAACTCACATTAAGATGATCCTCTCCACAATCCTTTCTCAATCCTTTCCTACCAAAATATCGTGAAAGGAAATTTAGTATAGACCGGATAGCTCAAATGGTAGAGTAGCCGACATGTCTTCGGAAGATTCTGGGTTCGAATCCCAGTCCGAGCTATCTAATAATTTTTTCTCGCATATTCTATAAACTCACATTAAGATGATCCTCTCCACAATCCTTTCCTACCAATTATCCTGTTACGTGAATGTTGGAACGCTTCACGTAATAATTATCCGTAACTCCTATTCTTTCCCGCTTCACAGCATTATTTATATTTGTTGGTGTACAGTAAAGAAAATATATATATATATATATATATATATATACATACATATATAAACTTTCGAACCATATGTATTTTCTGACTCAGCTCGTCGAGTTAAGTCGGAATATAGCAAAATTTTTCAAAAGTTTCGTCATGAGGACCATTGCAATAGTTAGATTTCTATGAAATCTACTAAAAATACGGTGTAAATTTAGATCACAGAATATTAGACTATACTTATTTTTTTTAATAATTGTGAAAAATGAAAAGCCAAACGATAACATAAGAGTTAATTTATTCGGATTTAGTAATGATTAAACTGTTAAATAATAATTAGATTTGATTTCAAAATGTAAAGAGTGATTTTGAAGTTGACCATTATTTACCTTCAAAACACATACCGGCTATTCGATCATTTTAAACTGGATTCTGTAGATTTGGAGCAAGTATAAAATGATTTTCTCATCCTCATTGTGACTGACCCGGAATAAGATGGAATGGGGTCCCTCTTCAAAAAAATCAGTGTCAATATTTGTTCATGGTCTTTATTAATGCAGTTTTTTAAATAAAAATATGGGACGAGGTTATTACCTACAGTTTTTAGTTAATTATAATAATAATAATAATAATAATAATAATTTATATAAATGCGATTTTTTTTGGTTTTTATTTATTTATTTTTTGTGAATAATTTTTTGAAAAAGGACTTTATTTTATCAATATTCTCTTTATAAATTATTAAGTAATAATATCCTTATAATAACTTATTCCCTAATATAATTTTTTTTTTATTCTGTATTGTCATCATATGATGTTCTTAACAAAACACAGAAACTGAAAAAATATATTTTCTTAGTAAGATTAATTAAATTTAACTATTTGAAGTCTTTCAACTATAAAAATAATAAATAATTATGTGATCGAGCGAAGTCGCCGAAAACGACCGAAGCTCGATTATAATTATATTGATAATTTCGTTCGAAGAGATCACTAAGTTGAAGAAGAGATCACAAATTTCAATGGTGTGAAGCCATACTCCATTTATGGCATTATTTTATACGATTATTAATCACTTAGAAATTAATATCACTTCTAATGTACGTAATCACTCCGTCCGTTCTGTTGTTGTCGTACAAGAGCATAAAATGTCTGGCCTAGCGCAACAAACCCAGTTTTCTAGTTGATCTTTAAGATGAATTAATCCACAAATATTAAAAACTGCTACGAATTGTCGCGAATAATCATCTAGCCATTGATTGTTAACAGCTATTTTTGCCTGTTCAAGTGATAATATTTTTTTATAAAACTCACAGTCCCGACCCGTGGCTACATGATTTATTTTTTAATCAACTAAGTTGAATTTTGTTGCCCATTTATCGCAGTTTATACATTTTTGTATTGAACTTTTACACTCCACCTCCTTATAGGTTTCTGCACAAATTCTATAGGTAACATTTTTTGTGTACTTGTTTGCAAAGTGGTTAAAGCCCCAGCAATTATAACAACGAACCAGATTTACGTAATTAAATACTTTGTAAGTACTCCAACCCATCTTAATAGAGTCATTTCATAATATTTTATAGTGTATTTCTGGATTTACTTCCAGTAAATCTGTTTCATAGCATTTTTTTATCTTTATATCTTTTTATCAATTCAACATTTTCTTCTGTTTTAGGATTGGTAGTTTCAAATTGTTCTGGTTAAATTAGATTTTTCATAAAAATTTCGCTTTCACTGTTAACTACACTTTCTTCTAATCCTATTATTTTGATTTGCGGATTTTTTCGTTCCTCGTATTTATTTTGTACTGATTACCTAACTTCTTCGGTATCTCTTCTGCAAGAACTTCTCGCTCCTTTTCTTCTTCGATCTCTAAGACGACTATACCATCCGTTTCTGTTTTCACATTGCTAACTCCCACACCAAATCTAATCATGTCTACATTATTTTTTAGCTGGGTCATAGTGATATCACTCGCTTGTTTTTTTTTGATGGAATTTCAACCACTCGTTCGTAATTTTTTTTCTTAATTTCTTTACGTTGGAACTCACGTCTGATATACTATGTGTTCTGCTGTTTAAAGTTGATGGTTTACATGTAGAAGAGCATTTTATTTTTTTTTTTGATTCAATTTATTTCTTCCATCTATACTCCTGCCAGGTCTTTAATTTCTTCTTTCAAAAGCTTTTTTAACGAGTTTAGTTCTTTACTAATGCAAACTTATATGAGGTTTTTTAGTTCATCTATATTTCTAGAATGAATTACTTCAATTTTGTTAGTAATTCTCTTCATTGAAGGATTGATCGTACTTTCAAA